AATACCAAGATGCGTCAATATATAACGTATCACACCCACTGATCTCCATTTATTCACTGCTGATTGGTGATTGCCCGTTGGTAGTATGGGGTTGAAGTGAAGCCACCAGCCGCCATAGTTGTACTCCCTAGTTAGACCGATCGCAATGTAAACAATACGTGCGCTACAGCAACGAACAACAATAATGTTCTTATTTTCAGGGGGACATAAGGCTTTTAATATAAAGATAAATTCATCACTTGGCGATTCATAGCATAAGTAGATTACTTTAACTTATGATTAAAAAAATAGGCACATCACATTGCATACCCATTGAAGTCAATGGATACTATAAATCATGTAATGTAACATATTATACAAATCCATCACAACTAAATGAATGTATTAATGGAGCATTATAATACAGAAAGTGCTAAATTGATGATGTACATGTAATATACATGTATTTTATACATTGTCAATGTACATCTTACATATAATTTTAGAATTTTACATAAAGACTGAATTACAAGCTCGTCTGTTAATGCTGTGGTGTTTTTCTATTTGCAAATTGTGCATGCATGATGCAATAAACTTTTATGCTGTGTCTGTGCATTAGCCTTCAAATCTGAAAGATTTCGATAGAGCTAAAATAAGGAACCAATTTAATATCTCCACAGAGCTTTAGTTTCTACACTAGCAAATTGGCAGAAATTGGTAAAATAACAGGCAACATCAAATTCATATTTTGCTTTTTGCTCTTAGTTACAACAAAAATATGATAATTGGAAAAAAAACTGTTCAATTAAATTCAGTTTATTTCTATAGCGCCAATTCACAACACATGTCATCTTAAGGGCACTTTACAGTTCACCAGATCATACCGTCAGCTGATTGCATCGACTCATTGACTCAAATGCAATCCCTCACACTAAGCATGCTCATAGCGACAGTGGAGAGGAAAAACTCCCTTTTAACAGGAAGAAACCTCCAGCAGAACCAGGCTTAGTGTGAGCGGCCATCTGCTGAGGCTGACTGGGGTTCAAGGAGACAGAAGCAGAGATACAAAAGTCCACTGTCCCGGAAACACACAGCCATCCAAATGAGCTCCGAGCAAACTCCCATGTCAGAGGATGAAGAGAGCACATCCAGCCAGTCACAGAAAAAAATTAAAAAGTCACAGAAATAAAATAAAACCAGATAAATGGATTAAAAGAAGGAGCCTTATATAGTCACACTGCTGTCAAATCTAAATCCTTTCCCGTTGCTATTGTGATCATTTAATCTGAAATCGGGTACAGATTTAAAGGTATACTATGTGTTGATTTTCCAGCGAGGCTCCCCCCAGAGGGCGAAAGTAAAAGTGCACTGTCGTAAATATGCTCAGCTGTTCTCCTGGTTTCTCCGTCAAGCCAGGCGCAGTTGTTTTGAGCTTAGCAGACAGGCGAACGCAACGAATGACTAACACAGTGAAAGTATGAACATGCACACAGAGAGAGAGAAACCATTCCAATGTTACTTACAATCACATCAGCAGAAACGTGAAGTCCGCATCAGCCTTGCAGCCTTCTTTTTATTTTAGCTCTCGCCATTCGGATAAACCCGATGTTCACCCGTGTACGACTCCTCTCTCTGTCCGGAGCCCTTTTCCTCTTTCTTGCCTGCTCCAACATGGGCTTTCGCTGTTTTCACTCTGGTTCCGATATGATAACTGCACAAAGATTGCCACTGTGCTAGCAACGAGCATGCTTTTAACTGGGGGCGTGTAGCAGTTCTCGCCGTAAAGGAAGACCGACTCACGCGAGACTTCTGAGCCTGTGGGTGCGGGCCGAGGGCTCCTGCAATTGCAAGTGCAGTATTTCCCCCACAGACCACCAGGGCGGCCGAGAATACCTTTGTTCAACCTGAAATGACTCATTTAATCATCCAAAATGTTATGGAACACATTAATTAACTGAAAAATGTTGCATAGTGTGCCTTTAAAGGCGTCGGCAGGATCCATGAAATCATTGCTGATGGTCCATGGATGGTTTCTCTGTTGTCTGATCAGATGTCTGTCATTACCTGGCGTTTGTCCTCACCACTTCACAGACCCATGCCATGAGCAGATATATCATACCTCACGTTGGGTGCCATTACCATGGAGACAACCTGAACAGTTTTTATTATTGAACTTTTCTATTGAAACATCACCAGGACTAAATTTAGAGCCCTAGATGTGGCTGTGCGACTTTTTACAGATGAGAAGTTGGACCTAAATATAAATTTGCCATTAACTATTTAACTTACAGGTCTTTTAGTTTTAGGGGGCATTGGGATATGATGGTAACTTTGCATTACTTTATAAAACAGCAAACTAAACAGTATATAATTAATGATGAGAAGAAAAAGTCATTTGTTTTGCAGCTTATAAAGTTCCAGAAAGAGAAGACATGACAGCATTTAGTGCCACTGATGAAGGTCCTAAGATCAAATAAAAAACTATGAGCATATAACTGAGCAAAAATGTTCATGTGCTGTTAATACAGTAAATAAAATGACAATAAAGTTTTTTTAGTCTAATGTTAAGTTCTTCCTACAGACAATGTGTTTATGATCACAAAAAAAGGAACCGTACATTTGCAGACAATGTTTATCCAATTCTGTTCAGGTGTACAGATTCAGATTCAACAGCATTCATCCCAGTTGGATCAAAATTAGAATACAATCCAGACAGACAGACAGACAGACAGACAGACAGACAGACAGACAGACAGACAGACAGACAGACAGACAGACAGACAGACAGACACTTGAACCCTGTTGTTTCATGTCTTGAAGAAAACGTAATAATATTAATAATATTATGATATAGTAATTGATGAACCTGCATCAGTTTTATCTGCAAAGCATATTTTTAAATTCAACATTATGGTTTCATGTACTTAGAGAATGTAATAATATTTGTCTTCGATCAGCTGCAAATCATTCTGATTATTAAGGGACCTAGCCAAGATGGCAGCAGCATACAAGTTATAATAGATAAAAACAAATTAAAAACATTAAAACTCTCCAAATTTTCTCAGCTGTAAAAGCTATCTGTAGATTTGTCAAAACTAAGTAAGGTTCTGAAAAGTTCTACAAAAACCTTTGTAAGTTTTAAGAAAATAATTGAAAAGCAGTTTTAGAAAAAAAACAACAAAAACATTGAAATTATAAGAAAAAAACTATTGTGAAAAAACTGGCAAAATTAATAGGAAAATCATTTTGATATTTTACAAAAATTATAGGAAAATATCAGATAGGTTCTCAGGAATCAATTTGTAGGTTTTAAAAAATGTATCACTTAACACAAAAAGTTGAAGGAAACTTAAATATTTGATGCGAAATCTAATAAAGCTCAGGGAAAGAAATAGAAATATGTAAGGTCATGAAAAGTATCTTTAAAGTCCATTTAGGCAAGCTTCTACATTTTTAGAAGGTTAATTTTATGTTTAGAGCCATTGTTGGAAATGAAAAAGTTTTAAGATCAAGAAAAACAGTGTGATGGTCATAATAGCAACCTGTATGTTAACTTACAGAGAGAGTATGTTAAGTTAGTGTAACATACTCTTGTTTTTCTAGATACATTTAACAAATTTATATGGATTAATGTGAATTATTTGTGCAATAATTAAGCATAGCTTAAACTAGCTAAATGAATATAAATTTAACTTTAATCAGGAATCGCTTTTGCAGCTATTGCCAAAAAGATCTCATCGGCTAACTAGTTGTGACTCACAGTAAAATGGCTGTCGTTACTGTTAGATGGGTTAGTAATTGTCAAAACTCACTATTTTCACGCATGTTTTTTTTCTTGCAACAAGAAGATCTGGGTTCTATTCCTGGCCTGACTCTTTCTGCCGGAGGTTTGCATATTATCCCTGAGCATGCGTGGGTTCTCGCTGGTTACTCCGGCTTCCTCCCACATTACTAATGATGATTAATACAAATAAGTTGAATTAATGCACAATTAATATAGAAAACCTATTGTGAATGTTCAAAACTTACAGATTTTAAGTTTGATTTACAGAATAAACTACATTAAAATGGTGATACCCCTGTTACCATAACAAAATATTTCAATTCATTGTCCTTTACTGGATTTTACTATTCAACAGTTTGAGCTAATAAATTTAAATGGTTTGATGGTTCTAACAAAACTGGCTCTGCAAAGGGCCCTTTGATGATGTTTTATGAATTGGTACTATATAAATAAGCTGAACTGAATTGAATTGATTTTAGGTGGTTAGGCGGTTTCCTCAGATCATTTAATTTTAACTTAACTTAGTCATACCTCTACCTCACCGTTGCTCCTTACCTACTACACTTTAACGTAAAAGTAGATCCACCTGTATATAAGCCATCTGGATTGTACATGTTTTTATTTTTTATTTCTTATTTCTTTATTTCTTATTTTTATTTTGCTTTCCATTGTGTGCGATACATGTACACTTGCACCTTAATCCTTATTTATCTTGATATACTGTATATATATTGTTTATTGGTAATTCCTAATGCACCTTTTTCCTCCTTGTTTGCACCTTCTTTGACTTCTATGCCAATTTGTGACCAGTGAATTTCTCCGCTGTGAGATCAATAAAGTTCATCTAATCTAATCTAATCTAATTTATCAAGTTTTACAGCATACCTTAATTACTAAAAAAGTTCCAAGAAACAAACTAAACTCCAGAAGATCCTTCAGGTTAAGTTAAAAAATGTCAGGTTTAACTAATTGCGTAAAATCTAAGCTATCCAAATTCCTGTTATATCCAAATGTCTGTGGATATCTGTGGAAAAAACCAAACGAATCATAGTTCAGCACCACGGACAGCGCCTCTGCTGCGCGCTTCTCCCCTGCAACATTTAAAGCGCACCACGGTGGCCAATTAACCCCGAGTGGACACTCTTCCTCCACACCACAGGTACTAGTGGCCATAGTGGGAGGGGTCACGCGTGCGGCTGAGGGAGGGCGCAGAGAGCTGCAGCCACTTGTCCAAAGGGAAAGAAGAAAAACAAAGCCGAAAGAAACTCAGACCAGAGCTGAAGTGAATCGTGACACTGGGAAACAGAAACAAACGGGAGGAGCAACGCCCACCGATCAGTGCTCGGATGGAGATTTAAAGTGTAGAGCTCTCAAGATGTGAGCAGCTCGTGACGCGCAGGGATAACAAAAACCTTTTTTTGTTTTCTTTCCCCGCCTAGAGCACAACCCCAGGGTGCTGGTCACAAAGTCCGAGCAGGGAGCTGTGGATGTCCGCTGATGTGCGCAGCAGAGGATGAGTGGCACTGCGGGCAACAAACGCGCACTCATCCATCCTTCTCTGTCGGATCTGAAGAGTGTTTTTGTCTTTCATCTCAGCCTCCTTACATCCTGAAACGAAACATTTCTAAATCCGAGGAAACTAGTGAGCGCGGAACCTGTTGGCAGCGACCATCTGTTTGCTTCCCCTCCAACTACTATTTGGTTTAAATTTGTAATAAACTTAGCTGTGCGCTCGTTTTTTTTTTTCATGATAACCTGGGTTTTAAATTGTGTGAGCAACACTCTCCTACTTTTTGCTCCTTTTCTTCACTCTAAGGCTGACTTCAATCATTTGGACGAGTCAGCACATTTTGGATGAGGATGCTCACTGTTAGCGGGAAGATTCCCGGATTCCATGCAAAGTAAACTGATTTATTTCTCTCCCCCCGCTCTGGAAGAATGGCTCCTAAAAACAGACTGATGATGATGAGAGTGAACAGGTTTATTTCAGGCTAAAAAAAAAAACAACTTAAACCCAGGCGGAAAAATGCCAAGTTTTAATTCAGATCTCGGATAAAGTACCACGGTGGAAAATAATAAATACGAGGGAAATAGATCTTTAATCAGTTAGTATTTTGTTTTGTTTTGTAAGATCTGCACAGTTTGTTGGGGAGGACAGAGAGACCAACAGGCGATCCTAGAAGCAGCTTGTTGATGGCACTGCGCACAGGGAGGACTTGGTTCGGGCAGGTCTTGCGCAGGGTCTCTCGTCTGCAGGGCTCTTGGTCCAGACGATCCAGCAGTCTGCTGTGTCTCTCCGCGAACCAGGAGCAGGATCTGGGGGTCTGCCACCGGGATCACTACAAAGCGGGGGACTTCGGTGCCCACAGTCCCCACAGCACCCCAGCCTCCGGGCGCTGCCCAGGCGGCTTTCCTCACGCTTGCTGCGCCTTACCGGGTCACCCGAGGGGACATGAGACCCTCGGTCGCCGATTCCTGTTGGCCATGAAGCGGCAAAACGTGCGGACCCTGTCGCTCATCATCTGCACGTTCACGTACCTGCTGGTGGGGGCCGCCGTGTTTGACGCCCTGGAGTCCGAGTTTGAGATGCGCGAGAAGGAACAGCTGGAGGCCGAGGAGAAGCGGCTGCAGGGGAAATATAACATCAGCGAGGATGATTACCGTAAACTGGAGAGCATCATCATGGAGGCTGAGCCCCACAGAGCCGGGGTGCAGTGGAAATTCGCAGGCTCCTTTTACTTTGCCATCACGGTCATAACCACTATAGGTAAGCCTATGAGTGTGTGTGATATTACAGATGCTTTGTACTTCAAAAGAAGCTGTGCACATGCGATTGCATATGCACCTATCAGCAGCAAACATTTGCATCAAGTTTGTGAGCAACATGTTGCAGCCCTCTGAACCTGGGCGCTAAGTTTGGAGGCATCAGAAAGCAGCAGCGATGTTTCAGAGCTGAGAGTTTAAATCCCTTCACTGTGGCGATGAAAACAAGTTTTGTTCAGGCGTAGAGAGGAGCACCTGGCTCTGCTGGTGCTGAAGGGACAGCTCCTTAGAGCTTCAGCCTTTGGGCAGGGGCGTCACCAAGGGGGATGGGGGTAGGGGGCACCCAAATTAATCAACCCCCCATCCATCCATCCATCCATCCATCCATCCATCCATCCATCCATCCATCCATCCATCCATCCATCCATCCATCCATCCATCCATCCATCCATCCATCCATATGAATTGTATTATTATTAACTGATCCTATTGTTGAACTGAACCTGTCTGAACTGAAGTGAGCAATATTCCAGAATACTTAATTTCCTCCAGTCTTCTGTCACATTTTCTGCAAGGTTCCAATCAAAAGCACTTGATGATATTTGACAATATAAGCTACATTTAGATTCAGATCCATAGTCTGTGCTGGGTTACCAAGCTGTCATAGGAAAATACTAAAAAACAAAAAAATATATATATACTTTTACGCTTTTCCCTATTTTCCCTATTTGCACATAACACAGAGCCAGAAAAACATGGGACTAGTATGGAAGCCAAAAACATCGCATCTATGATGCTTTTACACAGAGTGAAAGGCTGGGCCTTTGCAAAGCTGTTTATATTTCATTTAGATGGTTTCCAACAAAAGAGTTGTACATTTTTTTTCTTCAGAAACTGTTTTATCAGAATAAAACCTGAGTAGAAGTGGATGATTGCTGAGATTCAAGCTGTAAGCACCACTGAGTTGACTTGGACATTGAGATCTGGGACTTGAGTCTAATAAATGTTTGTAAGCGGGCAGCAGCTTCTGGATTCTTCTGTAATGCTCCCAACAAGCAGCATTTACAGTAAGTGGATCTCTGACAGATATATGCATTAGAGATGTATGATTATATCAGCATTGCTGACACTTCTATTCATCCCTTTCACCAATATAATTCACCAATGTGAAGAACAGGTGAGGATTATTCCTGCAGGAGCAGCAGGTGACATGCAACAAACAGATGCTCGATTCTGCCAGAGGAGAGATGCTGAAGTATAAAAATGTTGGTGGATGTTATTAAAAGTTTCATAGTCAGACAGCCTAACTGCTATTTGCCATGATGGCACAGGGCAGGAGGGAAAGCACTATACAGTGTCTGTAAGTAGGTTTAAAGAAAAATAAATAAACAGTTATTGGAGAGTTTGAGTTGTTAACTATCGACCAAATTTCAAATATTTTGCATCTCTGATATGGACAATTGTGCAGTTGAGTTGATAGCTGGGGTCCTCATAAAAGGTGACAGAGATATCAAGCGATACATATTTCAAATAGACACCCAGCTTTTCAAAATAAAATAACTTTTGGTCAGTTCTCACGCCCATCGTTGTAATTGACATTCTTTTCTCTTTTTATTATAATATAAAAAAGAAGCTACATAACCTATAGCACAGACAGGAAAATTTAGTGATTAAACCTGACACCAAAACATTTAAATGCTGCTTTAGGACATTTTTCTTCATATCAGTTGTTGATAAACTCAGAATAAAATTTGGAGAAAAATGGCTTCCGAATGCAACACAATGAGCTTTATAGAGGGAATAGATCATTTGAACACGTTGTTGAATAGAAAGGAAGTGGACAGTCTGAGTCTGAGACATGTGAGGAAAATAACCATTTCTATTAACTTATTTTTGACGTTCCTGTTTATCTATATTCCTTCTGCAGAACATTAAATCATCCACAGTTCTTTTAAATGTTGAATAGACGTTTTGAAACTGTTTTCACAGGAAAATGTGTCTGATGTGATACTGTTCATTTTAGCTGTTAGAAGCTTCAAACTGGGATAAAATTACTGGCAAACATCCCTTCCACATGCTTGATAGTTACATTATGGAGTGAATTTTGTTCCATTATTGTTATAAGAAAGATACATGTTTTGTAAATAGAAATAAAAAATACATGCAGTCCAAAAATGAATCTTTGAAAATTTTGTATTTAAAAAAATCTATATATATATATATATATGTATATATATATATATATATATATATATAATATAGAGATAGAGAGAGAGAGAGAGAGAGAGAGAGAGAGAGAGAGAGAGAGAGAGAGAGAGAGAGAGAGAGAGAGAGAGAGAGAGAGAGAGAAAATTTTTTTTTTTCTGATTTTGAGTTTCAGGGAACACGCATTTTTTTCAATTTGAGATTCCAGATCACTTTATTTGAAGGTCCAAACAAATGTCCAACAAACCAATAGAAGTGCATCTTTACTTCTCGCCTGCCCACAAGAAAGCCCGCCCACAAGGAGAGAAAATAATGTGATCTGTTAAACCCAATTTGAAAAAATTGCAATCCATAAAACTCAATATCAAACAGGGACATTTTGAAAATAAATTTGAAACAAGTGAAAAATGTAATAATTAAAAAAAGAATTAAGTCTTAGAAAACATCAAATTTCGTCTCAAAACCTTTTTTATTATGTAATTTGTCAAACTTTCCTTCCTGGATTGCATTTTATTTTATTCTTTTTTTTTTTTTTCAAATTCCAAAATACAGAACGTGCTCCTTACTTTCAACAATACTGGGTAGTGCATTGGTCGCTGTGAATCGGGTTGATCTTTGAAGGTGTCTGACACCAACATGTTGACACAAGATCCTTTTAGTCTTTAAAGCCCTGAGGTTGGGACATGGGACCTGAAAATCTCACAGATTCTACAAACTGAAGATGCTCTGACTCCATTTTATCGTCCCATTTTGACCTTTGCTAGCCTCTTTCTAGTCGTTACAGCATCCCTAACACATCAACTGTAAGGACAAATTGTTCACTCGCTGCTAAAATGCATCCTCCACACTAACAGGTGCCATGATAAACTGATAGCCAGCGTTATTTTCTTCACGTCAGTGATCATGTCTGGTCAGAGTGCATTATTTTATGCTCCATCACTCACTCTTCCTCACCATTTTTAAAACTTAATCACAGCTTAATTTGAAGTTTTTGAAAATTGTTCAGGTTCAGTAACGCTCAAAGCTAAATAAAAGCAGTTATTTATTTATTTTTTTATCTGGAGGTCCCCCTGAAAACAGGGAGGCTGAGTAGAGCTCAGCATCGGAAACCTGATCCGAACACTTTTTCCCAACCTATTCACGCTTCGTTGTTCACAGCCACAAACAAAAGGCTGCGGCGTTGTGAGCTGGTTGCAAATAAAAGCTGCTGCACTGAGATCACTGCATTGATCACCTTCCATCTATTACAAAAAAAAAAAAATCAGTTTAATGACTCTTCTGAAGCGCCCCGTGACATCATTGTTTTTGCTTTGATAGATAAAAGGTAATTTCAAGGCGAGCTGTTTCTTTTTCACAAGACACCGTGTTGTGATCAGTGGTTCAATGTTGACTATCTGAGCTGATGAAGAGCACAGATAATCCAGCTGTATATATTTTTACTGGATGGAAGAAGTCTCAGCCTTCCAGAGGGAAACAGGCGGTTTTACAGCGACCTGTCCTTCCAGTTTGCCAGGCAACACTTGACAGGAACGACTGCTCAGTACATCGAAGGTGGATCCCCCTTTTGTTTCCAGGTTACAGCAGTAAAACTCATTGTAATATTCATATCCTGTGAAGTGTCTGCATTCACCACAGCAGCCGGCTATTCTGTGTCTGATCACACTCTGTATGCAACAGCTGGGGGGACGTTCAAGACCTTTCCAGGAATCATGTGTAGGAAAAAGCTCTTGTGAAAAAAAACACAAAAAAACCCCAGAAAAACTTGAGAACAAGAGGAGAGTAGGTCAGAGAGGTCAGACCTTAAATTTATGATACAGAAACGGTCCAAAACAAAGACTTTCTATACGCAATAGTTTTATTTTTTTATCTCGATGACTAGAAAGCCTGTCTAATACACAACATCTACACTGGAAGAAAAATCGAAATCTAGATAAGTAATTTTTTCTTATAATAAGTGCATTTGTTCATGAATTGAGAGGGTAAAAGAGACATTTTGCCAATGGAACAAGACAAATTAGATTTAAAATAAGAAAACACAATAGCATTGGCAAATCATTTACCTACTCAAATTAAGGGTAAATACATTTAATTTAAGACATTTTTACTTATTTCTTGATCGTTTTTCCAGTGTTTACAGAATTCGCTGGAAAAAATATAAATCTGAATAAGTCCCTGTTTCTTAAAATAATTGCATTTGCTCTTGAATTGAGGAGATAAAAGAGACCTTTTGCCAATAGAACAAGACAATTTAAATTTAAAATAAGAAAAACCTAACTGCATTGTCTTATTTAAAGTGCATATTATCAAATTATCTTATTTTAAGAGTAAAAATACTCATTCCATTGGCAAACTATCTCATTTACCTATTAAATACATTTATTTTAAGAAATGTTTACGTAGATCTTTTTTCCAGTTTGTGAGCTATGTTACCTTACAGTACTTCCTATACTCTGCTCTGGGAATTCAGTGGAAAAAGAAGGAAAGCCAATTTTCCCACCTATTTTCGATCAGTAGATTTCCCAGTCATTATTTTGTGACAGTGTGAAATAAGGCAGAGATAAAGAACCAATCTTAGTGATGTCAAGAGTGAGCTGGCTGTGGGGACTCATTAAAATCAAAGCAGAATGTTTAAAAAAAACAAACAAATAAATAAATAAGAATATGGTTTTTGCTCAGATATGCTGGCACTTGCGCTGCTCGGTGTGTCATTTTCATACCGCATCCAGAAACAGCTTGAGCTCTCCTGTCATGAGTTTGCTATAAAAACCTCAAGAGCTCTTTTCATTAATTCCCTGTTTA